AGTCATCGATTTCGTGTATTTTCATTGCAAAGGTAAGATGTATTTTTTTTCCAATTAATCTAAAGCATATATTTGTCTTTGTATTTGATGAATACTGTCATGTGTGCTTGTTGTTCTGTGAGAACAATGGCGGAGGTGTAAAATCGTCGAAAGTCCCGATTTTGATTTTCAATAACGGCTACTAATTCTCAATATAAATCTTTTTTACCGGGGTGTAATAAAAGCAGATGAGATAAAGATTGCTTTAGTGGCATTTATAAGTCTGTGGCGGTCGCGTAATTCCTTATTTTGACTCCTGCAATGCGACGAAATATGATGTTTTTCGAAATATTTACTCCACAACACTTGATTTTCGCACACTTTCACAAGAATAGTTCACTACTAGCATTTTAAAAATAAATATGTCAACATTCACGGCGATTTCCTCTTTTGTTTGGTACCAAATTTATATGGCTACGATCAGTACTTTATTTTTATGCTTTTTGACGTAAACCCATATTTGCGCTGTATACTGAACATTTCAATTACCTTGTAGCAGACGACATAACATTCCTTTTGTTTGTTAATATGACCCAAATATATATTTAAATCATTCTACAAAAATCTCATTCACCTAATCAGTTGAAAATAAATGTACTTTTTTCCATTATTGTTCATTGTGATGATTATGTTTGTAGAAAAGGTCCTTATTTTATCATGACTACAATTAATATATTTTTCTGTTATCATTATTCCTCCTAATGAAGTTTGATTATGAGTTTACCTGGGCTTAGACAGTACCAACAGCCTGTCTTATGCAACAATAAAAATGAAAAATGAACTCATTATTTAAAATTATATTTATATCATAAATTTATCATGTTTTGTAGATGCCCAGGAAAAAGAAAGTTTTCATCGGCACTCATCGGTAGGGCTACTCAAAGAGCCTACTATTAAGTACAATAAGTAGATAGACCTTGTTTGAAAGAGCATTGGCAACCAACTATTGCATAATTTTAACAAGTATTTAGAACACTTCATATTATTTTTCCTTTAATAATAATATCGTGTATCTCCTTTTTTTCAGTTCTAGAGATGAACCCACAGATACCCTGTGCCCGGAAGAAGCCACAAATATCCATCTGGAAAATGTCCGAATGTAGTAAAATCCAATGTATAATTCACTTCATGGATATTTAAAATATCAGTTTATGAATTTATTTTAGATTGTGTACAGATTTGTATGATTTCATGTTTTTCATTCACAATCTAAATCCTAAATGGACAACATAACTGTGCAGTTTGTGTTGCACCAAGTTTATAAGTTATCATGTTTGAATATTTTAATGAATTAGTATATTCTTTAGTCTTAAGTCTCAATTTCAAATTCATTTCAGAGTTTATTTGCAACAGTTGAAATTCATATTTACTGTGTTTTTAATGAAAAAATATCTAAATGGTTGAATTTAGTAATACATGATTGTACATATAGATCTATGGTCCTATTCTAGAATAAATACATTGTACATATAAGAACATGTGACGTTGTGTTTTAATGTTATTGGTTGCATTTTCCTGCCAAGTTAAAGTTGACACTTTGCCGAAATTCTTAAATTGATAGGGTTATGAAGTACAGCCCATAACACGAATATTTCATGGGCTCAGAGGAAAGTGACTTTAGTATTAAATGGCTTCCCTTTGAAAAAAGGAAAAGAAATGTCTCCGTACATCCCAAAGCATAATCACTGCTCGCCAAAACTGGCATTATAAAAACATTAACGCTCTTGGATAATGTGAAATCATGTTTCGTTGGGACTATCAACTTTATAATATAAAATTATGCGAATTAATATAAAATTAGAATCAGAGACTAATAGCGTCATTTAGTGAAACACCAGCCAGTCACAGGCTCTCGTGTCTTTCCGAGGATTAATGATTTAAAAATATTGTTTTTAAGATGACACCCCGACTTGAAATGCTTCACAGTACAATACATAATGACAAGGCCGGACACTTCTAGGGTGCACCCTACCCGACTGCGTTGCCGATCGCTACGCTACCATCGCATGCAATCGATTAAAACTTAATGTAAACATAATCATGGATGATTGGCCTTTAGAGCAACACTCATGACACCTACCAATTCTTTATTGTTATTTCTGCAAGTCGATTGAAAACTGATTTTGACTCTCCACTAAACGATCTTGACACAAATGGATGACGATATGTACGCACATAACAGGGGTGTGGTTGTAGCAAGTCCTCTGATTGGCCAACGCTTGCAAATCTGCACATTCTTCATAAAGTCACGGGAATTTTTACTTTCATCGACTGCTTGACTTAAAATGTAAGAATTCTTTTTCCAGCAATGGCTTCTCAAAAGAACGAATGAGTTGTAAATGTCTCCTTAACAAACATCAACCAACCAGAGGGCTTGCTTTGACCACACCCTCGTTTTGCGCCAACGAATACTTGCAAGTAAATCTTGAGATTAGCCATGTGATGATACGTTTAGCGAGCATCGGGGATATTGACAACTGTAATGTTAAAACTGCCTTTACCTGACTGGGTTAGTTTGATTTTTGTATTTTGGGTTTATATTCTGTGTCCTGTCGTAGTCTGTAAATTCTCCAAGTAAAGTATCGAGGTCCAAGTCAGAATCATCCCAGTGAATAAATTAAGTCGTCCATGGCCATGCCGAATGTTGAAACAAATATTCCAGGCTTATGACGACACACATTTCACGAATGATACATGTTCTGCGATGTTGTCAGTTGACATGTGCAAATGAGAGATAAGATAAAAATTAAGATTATTGTAATCAGTTTATCAGAGCTGTCCATGTAATGTTTAACTGTCAAATGCAGCCGGCGAAATCCCGCTAAGGGAATTAACTCTCAGCCTGGATATTACGCAATATTGTTTATGGTTACAAGAGTGCTCATTTGCGAATATCTGCGCATCTGTTGCACATGTGTACCAGTAGAGGGAAGTTAGCAGCAGGGTGTCGATGTGTATCAGTTACATGCCAGGCCATAGCACTGATGGTTAGTGATAAACTGTTGGGGAGGGCCGTCCCTCTATTATATGGTCTCTGTTTGCGCACAGTTTCATGAAAGAATACTAATATCGTAGGCAGGTTGGCTGACCATCGCCTCCGACATGCCACCTAGTCATTGTTGTAACTTCATGTATGTATACATATTGAATCCAGAATAAAGTGTTGTGGACCCACTGATGGACTTCTGTATTTGAAGACACAGTTATCCTTTCCAAACAACCTGGGATACTAAGTATTCTTTTGAGATATGGTCCAGACAAACACACCACTATGAACAGAGTCAAATCAAACTTGCTGCCATGGAAACAGGAAACAAATTAATTTTCTTAAAATTCATAAATAGCAAAAGACACCCCTTCAGTGTTTGGTTAATACATGTAGCAGGCTGGGATGAAAAGTCGTCGAAATATTAGACTGGTCATGCTGGAACAAAATCCTACCCCCACCCTGAGACTAAATCAAAATAGTTCCAATGGATATCAAGAATAATAAAATTGCAAAACAAACCCCAAGTAGCAAAAGGCACCAGTTTGGGATCTGTTTGATATACCTGCCAAGTTTTGTGGAAAGATATTGAACAGTTTTTAAGTTGTACTTCAGAAACGACATGACTTCCATTTCCACTAAGTCTAACTTACGGAAAATATCAAATTTTGAAAAATTACTAAATAGCAAATGGCACCACTTCAGCCCTTCGTTAATACATGTACAAGATTTGGATGAAAAATCTTTCATGTTTTTCAAGTAGTGCTCCAGAAACGAAAACCACCCACATCTTTTGAAACCAATTATAATGTCCAAACTGAAAATCAAGATGCAAACAATCTGCAAATAGCAAACTCACTACTTCAGGATCTGTTCGATTTACATGCCCAGTTTTGTTGATAGATATTGGGCCGTTTTTGAGCTATGCTCTAGTAACGAAATGCACCCCTGTCTTTTCTGAGTCTAAATTGTTTCCATAAAAATCGAGAAGAATAAAAATGCCCCAAATTGGTAAATAGCAAAAGGCACCACTTTAGGTTCTGTTTGAACTACCATTTTTTGTTGAGATATATTGAACCACCTTTCAGTTATGTAACATACTTATATTTGGGATTGCACTTTCTTAGCAAAGTACAGATTCTAGTATTTTTTGGGTTGAGTCCCATCCGGGATTCGAACCCACACCCTCAAAGTCAGGCACCTAATCGCCAGCACACAAAAGTCAGACGCCTAGACCGCCTAGCCACTGCGGCTTCCACAAAAATGGAAGTCGGACAACTGGTAGTCTAGACTGCGGACTTTGTGTACCCCTCTGATAAGTGTTAATTGGCACAGCTCCCACGGCCGAAAGCTATGAAATACACAATGCCATTTTAGGAAGTGATCAAATGTAACATACGTTATATTTGGGATTGCACTTTCTTAGTAAAGTACAGATTCTAGAACTTTTTGGGTTGAGTCCCATCCGGGATTCGAACCCACACCCTCAGAGTCAGGCACCTAATCGCCAGCACACAAAGTCAGAAGCCTAGACCGCTTAGCTCAGTCTAGGTGTGTGGGTTCGAATCCCGGATGGGAGAGGGGGGAAGAGGAAGAAAAGGAGGGGAGGAGAGGGAGGAAGGAGAGGGATGATGATAACAACATTTATTTGACAAGGAAGTATGTCATACAAGAAATCATGACAGATTTACAATTCGAATGTGCTCTGTTAATTATGATGGCTTTGTCATTCAACAATTATGTGCTGATTATGTCCTGATTGCATAACTTATTCAATGTTAATATAAACAATCACAGCTGTTATCTCCATATATTAGGTTTGAATATTTTTGTGTCAATCAGCACTATAAACAGAATAAGTATCTTCAGAGGCTTTTAGTTTCTGAAGCTATGACAATTATATGATGATAACAATATGACGTCTGGAATCTAAATAGACACATATAAACACTGGCTGCACTCTATTCATTCCTACCTTGAAAATAAGCTTCAGGTCCTTAACAGCTCCACTTCGTGACAGTCTTTCCCACTTGCTCAGCGTGTCAGACAGCCTTTCATCTACTGCCATGCATCTCTCTATGGAATACACATTATTATTTGTTCTTTCATGTTCCACAGTATATGTTTATGCAAAATGCAGAGTGACATTGCAATATTTTCTATGATATCAAAACGAATATTGGTCAGTTATCTTCACTATTCAAATCAATGAGTTGAAGGGCATATTTTTCAATTAACTTACCTTCATCTGCACCTGTTTGGTTTCAGTTTTTCAAAAAAGGATTTGGCTATTAGTTCATTTTCATTTTTGGGAGGATGAAAACTATCCTGAGCTTAAAATGTTATAAACATGAAATGTAACAGAGGAGGTTTCGTTGATGTTGCTTTTGCCAGGAGATGGTTTTAAAAATTACATGGTGATGTTTAATTCCACAGTTCAATGAGACACATGAATTTAAAAATAACAGAAATTTATAACTCGCATCTTGTCTTTATAATTGACACAGAAAGTTCAATCTCGTTTTTTTCCGTAAAAACAGATTGTCAAGCGATTTGTCATTATGGTAACTAAATATTAGTTAGTTATTAGTTAAAATGTTAGTTGAAGTAAAATGCAGATACCTGAACCACTCATAACTTCATACATAGCAAATCCTTCAGCATCTGATCGCATTCCAATTTTCACCTTCACCATTTTAGTGAGCTGAAACAAATTTGTTGAAATTGAAGTATTATCATCAATGATAATAATTCCTGGAATACTGCCTCTGACACTTGATTGCCTTATTTCCTGAAACTTGTTTCTGATCCACAGGATTAACTTGAATACAAATTTTAAAGCCCATCAACTTGTGTTGTCTTTCTTCCTAGTGGTCTTTGTAAGTGCCACCTGTTGGGAGTTATCTCCCTTTTAAGTGCATGGGAACTTTGTTATAAGTCATAGTCTAACATTTGAGGCATCAAGAAAGGTTTTCCAGGATCACAACAATCAACCTCTGGTCAAAGTTTAATGTTGCCTCACCCTTAATGATGATTGTGCTTATTAACTTCGCTTGCATTTCTTCTCAAAGTGATATACATGTTTGGCCTGTTATTGCACAAGCATGATATCTCAATCATTTTAGAGTAATATTTTTCACCCATAAGTAGGTGGTTGCACTTCCACAATGGAATAGGCAAGCTATTGTTTTTTCTTTATCTCACATGAAATCTCCACAGTCACGTAAATACCACTTAAGAGCTCTTACTGAGTCTGGTAGACCATAATCTGGTGCAGGAGCCAGGGAAGGGATGGTGAAAATCCATTGTCCTAGAGGTCCCATTACAGACTGTTGATTCTTGGCCAGGAATCGGCAAGTAATACTCTGATCATGACCCTTGATTGATTTTTCAAGAATGCAACCAACCTAACGTCCAGGGCATGCAGTTCTGAAGTCATTGATGCTATAAGGAATGCAGTCTCCCAAGAAAGATGAGACAGTTTGACTTTATCCATATGATCCAAACCAATGATGTAATAGATCCAATAAAACCAAAGACAAATCCTATTTCGTAGTTATTTGTTGTTTTAGGATATCCTCTAGTTTAAATGACTGTAATATGCTGGTAAGAACTGGATCCTTTCCTGCTTGTTAAGAACAGATATTACTGTCTGAGAAGTGGAGGCTACTGATGAAGACGTAACGGTAGGATATCAGTTCAGACGGCAGATTATCAGTAGAGACAGTAGGTCTGGGAACCATGATTGTTTTCTTGAATATAAATCCCAGTGACCTGATGCCCTCATCTTCTAGATGAGCTTCCTGCCTGTGAGTGAAGAGGTGATGATCTGATGACGGCACACTGATTGAAGTCCAGTGTATGACATTGTCAGGGTTCATCCTTGAACACTAGTTCTGAAGGTGTTATGACAGAGTCTACTTGTTTCCCTCAATGTAGACTGATTGAATTCTAAAGGAATCTGAGATGTAGACAGCCTCTGAATGTTAGATCATGCATAGATGTGAGCACTCCCAATAGCAACATCTACTGCGGCAGAGTGAGCAGAAATTTCTGGAATGTTGAAATCCTGGTTGTGACAACCTGATATCGTTGATAAACGACACCTTGATGAGTGTTGAATATGGCCCCTATGTACTTTCTTACCTATACCCTTTACTTTCCTTCCTATACTCTATACTTTCCTTGGCTGAAGTTCTGATATTTCTGGATGCACTAGGAAACTCCTAATTTTTAGAAGAAATCTCTCAGATAAAATGAGTTGTCTCTCTACATCTACATATGGAGACATAAAATCGTCGAGAAATCTGTGAATCCTGACGTGCTGTAGATAGAGATACACCAGAACCATGGCTGTTATCATCTTAAATAGCCATGGAGCTACTGATATTACAAATAACAGAACTCAGAACTGGAATAGGATGGATAAGTATGTGTAGATATGGGTCCTGTAGATCAGAACTGGAATAGGATGGATAAGTATGTGTAGATATGGGTCCTGTAGATCTATGGATTCCATATGGACTTCATCCAAAACTTGGGTCGTCATCTCAGGTATTTCCAGTTGAGGATCTTCAGATCGATGATCATTCCAAGTTTTGTTGGATCCTTCTTGGGAACAAGATATACCAGAGAGAAGATCCCTTGCCCGGATTCCTCAATAACACCTTCCTTGTCTAAGAGTTTGTCTATCGCTGTCATTGCCACTGAAAACTTGGGATCCTGAAGCTGATAGTGATGTCCCACTGGGCATACCATCAAGAGGGGTCTATTTAGGAGATAAACATCATGTGTTGGCCAATTTCCGGGTGTTATTGAGTATTTGAAGAACGGGAATTCATTTGGAACCGATGGCGTCAGCCGGAGGTTTCAAATGAAATATTTCCGTGCTGTTTGTTGATCTCAGTTGTCGACTTGGCTGGTATGGGCAGAGTAGAGACTTCAGATATTGAGGTGCATCAGAATGATTGAGAACAGTGTAAGTCAATGTAAGAATTTTGAGTGAGTGAGTTTAGTTTTACGCCGCACTCAGCAATATTCCAGCTATATGGCGGCTGTCTGTAAATAATCGAGTCTGGACCAGATAATCCAGTGATCAACAGCATGAGCATCGATCTGCGCAATTGGGAACCGATGACATGTGTCAACCAAGTCAGCGAGCCTGACCACCCGATCCCATTAGTCGCATCTTACGACAAGCATAGTCAACTTTTGTGGCAAGCATGGGTTGCTAAATACCTCTACAATGATAACATTCCTGACTATCTCAAACATCTCATCTCTGTGTATGTACCTCAGCAAAGTCTCCGATCCTCCTCTGGCTCTCTCCTAACCCAACACAGATCTCCAAACCAACTGTCTGACCGAGCTTTCTCCTGTGCCAGCCCTAAACTGTGGAACTGTCTTCCAAAGGAAATCAGGAACACTTCATCGAAAGAAACTTTAACATCTCTGCTAAAGACCCATCTATTAACTGCTGCCTTTCTGTAAAGTTATATGAACTATTTCCTTCACCAATATTGTCACAGCGCCACTGAGCATCTCTATGGTGGATATTAGGCGCTTATAAATATTAAAAATTATAAATACATTATTATTATTATTATTCTACCCCAAATCTTCTCGGGTCGTAAGAATTTTGAACTGCATTCTTTCCCTAATGAGTTAGTGCAAGCTTACCAAAATAGGAGTGATATCTCCATATTTACGGGTTCTTGTTACAATGCGTGCAGCAGTACTCTGCACCCTCTGTAGATGGTTTGTTGACCCTGTACAGCTAAGAAGGGCATTGCAGTAGTTTAATCATGACAAAACATAACTGTGCATCAGAAGTCTAGTTTCGACATCCAAAAACCCACAGATCTTACCAATGTTCCTGATATGGATGTTAGCAGTTCCAGCTACTGCCAGTGCTTGGGTTTCAGGGTTTGTCAAACATGACTCCAAAACACAATCAGAGGGGAAGACATTTGAGTTTCTTATGGCGATGGGTGTTTCAGGGACTTGACATCCGTCAACGAATATCATGAAAGAAGTGTTCAATACTTTCTCGCCCAATGTCAACATTGGCTGACTTGACACTGACATAGAGCTGATTATTGTCATAAGCCTGAAGCCTGAAACTGAAGATGATGCTCCATGAAACTTCCTATAGTCTTCTGAGTAAAGTACCTCAAGCACTTCCTCACACTTGCCATTGAGTGATATCTTCTCCTGGATTGTCAGGTAGTCTGGGACTTTTACGTCCCTTGTCCTGGGAAACCTTGTCCAGTGAGGGTGATTTAAAGGGTAAATCTCTGTTGTCAGCTGTACTTGAGTCTTTACCCTGTAATGCTGAGCGTCCTAGATGATCCAGATACCTAAAAAAGTTGATACCTTGATTCAAGTCCTTAAGTATCTTGATTTGAAACAAAGGCTGTGGTAGTTTACAGTTCTGTCAGGTCAGGTTTAATTTCCGCTGCAAAATGACATTGGTGGCATGGAGTCAGGAATCAAAACTCATCATCAAAAGTATATCTGCCTGAGTTGAGTGATCTGCCTAATGACACCAGCCCTGTTTTTTTCTAATGCAGTATGATGAGCTTTATCTTAAAGGCCAGGGTGCAAACAAAACCCAAAACCCATGGGTATCCAATAAGTCTCCCACTGGCTACTCCTCAGCAGTGTAGATGGTATCTGCCAATGAGTGACAGGACTGTAAAGGTTATGGGTGCCTGGCAAGAGCCTGGCGATTTCAAAGTTAACCTTGAAATTTACTACTTGAATAAAATGTGCCGACGTCCGACAAACAAATCACTACATATTTTGATGACTAAAGAGATTAATTTGATTAGCATTTAAGAAATTTCGTCTGCTATGGTTCCAAGGTGACCTTGAAACTGTCATGCCCCTTAGCTCATTAACAAACATAAACAAGGCCCTTAGCACCTTAATAAAAAGGGTTATCTCCCTTGGACCAGAGGTGAAGGCTGGGGAAATTAAGTTCCCAAGAGTTATGTCCCTTTACCTGCAAATCAAGCCTAAGTAGGTTAAGCTGTCAGTTTTAATATCAAATAAAATAGTTTTATTTTCAACTCAAATTTTACTTTTTATCTGACAATAAAATCTTCAAACATGGTGATGTCAGCATCAAATAAGTGTACAGCCCTAATCCTGCACAGCATAGGGCGTGCGTGCGTGCGTGCGTGCATGCATGTGTCTGTTTGTCATTTTCACAGCCTGCCTGAAATATGAAACCCTGAATGAAACTTTCGCCCCCTCTTACAGGCTTGTTTCTAAAGAAATACACCTCCTCAGGCCCCATGGCTGACACAGTGGGAAATTCAAATCTGGATTTTAAAAGAGAAACATTTTCAAAATGTATGTTTTGTAGGCTGTCTGCATCCATACATTTTACCGTTAGCCTTCATAGCATACTTCTTTACACTATGGCTAAATTTCATCATGAGCCGGAAAATCAATTTTGTGATATTCCATGGAATGTACTTGAATACTGCATTGCTTTGCATCAAAAGACAGCTTTGACAAGGCAAGGAGGCTACATCCCATCTGTGTATAGGTTTGAACCCTGGCCTTTAAGACAATGTAGCAGTATGAGACAGGGCTATGCCTGCATCTTGTGCTGGTTACTGCATTATGGTGAGAACAATCTCTTTGGTCTGAGCTGATATGAGTGCCCCTGCTATCCATAAGTTGTGTGTGTCT